GGCTCCCAGGTCCATGTGGTAATACTTAGTACCCCGGCTCCCAGGTCCATGTGGTAATACTTAGTACCCCGGCTACCAGTACCATGTGGTAATACTTAACATATGGGCTCCCAGTCTCATAAGTGCATTGGCTCTCAGTTCTCCCTGTGAGTCTAAGTCATGGTTGAGCCTTTAAAAGCACCTTGACTTCAGATGAATGGACAGTGGTCGTGGTAGCCAGGACATTCTGTGTCTGGTGAGGGGTGCTGGCGCGGGGTTCACACTATCAGGCAGGTGCTGGATCATTAAGCCACAACACCCACAGTTAGTTTTAGTTATTTCTAGTTCTTGATAGGTAATATTCATGTTTAAAACATGTAAAATTGAAATTTTGGAATGCTAGGCCCTGTAATAGTTACTGACATTTCCATTTAGTACTCTTTCTAAGCAACCCAAACTAATATTTTCTTAGTTAATTTTATACCCTTAAAGGTTTGGGTTTTTGTTGTTGTTGTTGTTTGCTTGCTTGCTTGCTTTTGCCAGTCATAGGGCCTGAATTCTGGGTCTGGGCACTGTCCCTCAGCTCTTCAGCTCAAGGCGAGCGCTCTATCACTTGAGCTACAGCATCACTTTCTGGTGGTTCATTGGAGATAAGAATCTCATGGACTTTTCTGCCCAGGCTGGCTTAGAATGGCGATCCTCAGATCTCAGCCTCCTGAGTAGATAGGATTACAGGCGTGAGCCACTAGCGCCTAGCTTGCCCTTAAAGGTTTTAAATAATTTTTAAAAAGTAGCATTTCTGAGGAACAGATATCACACTATGAATTTAGCATCTTTGGGGTAAAGGGGAAAAGTAATCATGTCTTCCATTTTCTAAGAATTCAGAACAGGCAGGTGTCTTGTCCCCCGGTTAACACCATCTTTGCTGGCCTCTTACTAAAGGCCAGTGCCTGTATATTGTAAGCTGACTGAAATACTTTGGTCTGGAGCCCACATGTAGATTTTTTTCCCTCTAGCGCTTGTTTGGTCAGTTGGTCTTTAATTGATGATACTTTATTTAAATGCCAATGAAACTAGAAATTTTTCCAAATGTCTATCTTCTTTGTCTTTTTTCTCTTTTGTAGTTAGTACTGGGGATGGCACCCAGGGCCTCGTGTGCTCCAACACTTGAGCCATGCCCCCAGCCTAGCCTTCTTTTGTCCTAGTTAATTTCCAGGTAGGATCTTGGGGAGCAGGGGTCCTCAGACCATTTGTCCTCCGACCTACGTTTCTCAAATTCTCAAGTACCTGGGATTACGGGCATGTACTGTTAGGTTGGCTTATTTGTTGAGAATAAATTTTAATAGTTTTTTATTGAGATTAAGTGATTTCATAAATTTCACAGTATTGTGGGATAGTGATACTTAAAGTCACAAACACATTTTAAGCTTCACAAGGCAAATTGTCATTATCGTGGTCTATAATGTTTGTGAATTCTATGAGCTTTGACAATATTCTATTTCTTCTACATCAGGTGATACGTACATTTTTTCCTTTTGTTTAGTGTAAACTGTTCCCCCTTTCCCTCTCATTCCCTCCCTCCCATTGCTGACTTGATGAGAATAAATTTTTGCCTAGGCTGGCTTAACTTGGATCCTCCAGATTTCTACCTCACATTCCTGGCTCTTGTCAAATATCTTGAAGCCCCTTTATCAGTGGAAGCTGTGGGTTGTCGAAGAGCCTGGACCCTAGGGGCTTCTAGCACGAATCCCACTCTTACAGTCCTCCAACCTTGTGGCTAGTCCTGTTTGGTCTTAAGAAAATGTGTTGAAGCCAGGTGCTAGGGGCTCACACCAGTAATCCTAACTACTCAGGAGGCTAAGATCTGAGGACTGCAGTTTGAAGCCAGCCTGAGCAGAAAAGTCTGGAGATGCTCAACTCCAATAAACTTCTACAAAAAGGCTGGAAGTGGTGCTGTGGCTCAAGTGATACAGTGTTCGCCTTGAGCAGAAAAAGCTCAGGGACAGTGCCCAGGCCCTGAGTTTAAGCCCCATGACTTGCAAAAAAGAAAAAGAAAGTATGCTAAAAAGGAAAGCCAGCCCCCAAAGAATCAACACTGTTAAGAGGCATGTTTTCTGAATTTTAAAATCAAAGTTTAAAGTGAAACTTTTCTTAATTTTCACTTTATTCCATATATAAGCTAATCTGTTTTCTTATGAAAAATTTAAAATGCTGCAAGTGCGGTGCTCTCCCCCTCGGGGGCGCGCTGCCGTGCGGCGTGCACCCACATGGCTGCCAGTGCCTTCCGGGGCAGTACAGCCCACCTAGATATTGAGAAGCCTTGCCTGGGTTTTAATCTGTGCTCCCTTGCTTGTCACTATTTTCTGCCCTTCCCTTCATTTAATAGTGAAATAAATATGAGTGAGTGAAGATGCGGTGACGGCTAGCTCTTCCTGACCCTTCATTTAATAGTGAAGTAAATATGAGTGAGTGAAGACGTGGTGACGGCTAGCTCTTCCTGACCCTTCATTTAATAGTGAAATAAATATGAGTGAGTGAAGACGCGGTGATGGCTAGCTCTTCCTGACCCTTCATTTAATAGTGAAGTAAATATGAGTGAGTGAAGACGCGGTGACGGCTAGCTCTTCCTGACTGATCTGCCGTGGCCGCTTCCCTTGCAGCATGTCTCTCCTGAGCCAGCAGCCGTTCCTCTCCCTGGTCCTCACCTGCCTCAAGGGGCAGGACGAGCAGCGGGAAGGCCTTCTGACGTCGCTGCAGAATCAAGTGAACCAGGTGAGGTGCAGCCAGCGTCTCCCTGACGACGTGCTGGTGCTTTAACGAATAAGGATGCACCATGGTTTCAGTAGATGCTGGGCGCTGTAACCCACGCCCTCTTCTCCCACCTGGTGTTCCTCAGAGCGCCTGCCACAAGTACCACTCACAGGTTCACAGTGTTACAGCATCAGTGACCCACGTGACAAGGTAGATAGACATGCCCATTAAGATGTGCATAGTGGCAAGAACTTTGGGGCAGGCCGTGTGCTGCTGCCCTCTGGAGAAGACAGTCTGAGACCTCTGTGACCCCTGTGACCCCTGCACCCCAGCAGCCTGGCCTGGCCTGAGCTGGGTGGGTTCAGGACTGTATTTGTATGGGTCTGCCGTGGCTCTGATACCAGCTCGCTGGCTGCACCAGGAGTCATTTTAACGTATTCCTCAAGAGTTTGGATATGGCTTTTTCAGCCACCATGGCTCTTTGGATATCTGTTTGGGACACTGTTTATGTACTGCCTAGAAACTAAATGACTCAGAAAGTTTTGAGTGTGAATCAAGAGCAGTGGCCAGGTTGGCTGAGCAGTGAGCCCTGCCTCGTGGCAGTGTGTTTTACGGTACCAGGTCTTCTCCTGTGTGCCAGTGGGTGGACACGAACAAGGATACTGAGTCCTGCTCGGTTCTCTTTGTCATCTCTCACTGCTGGATCTAGGAGCTCTTTTCTCCACATAGCTACTCATGTGAAATATAGTTCTGCTTCTGAAATACGAATCACCTACACCTCCAGTGTCTAAGCTCCTTATATTTATGTCAAAATAAAATTCACAAGGTCTGGGTCGAGTTCTGGTGGTCCACAGCTGCAGTCTTGGCTACTTGAATGGTTGAGATCACAGTTCATGCCAAGCCTGGACATTCACAGAAGGCACTTCTAGAACATCCAGCAGCTGAGCGCAGTGCAGGCACCTGCCACTCTGGCTGATGGTTCCCGACCAACTGAGCAGATAAGTCTGCCAGACTCCATCTCAACAGAAGAGCCCAGTCGGGAAGGTGGGGGAGGGGGGACATACACCTGCCATCCCAGCTACCGTGGGAAGTATAAAATAAGATCAAGGTTCAGGTATGCACTCTGGTCAAATAACCAGTGGGGAAAGCTGGTGAAGTATGGCTCCGTGGTAGAGCTCCTGCTCAGCTCGTGCTGAGGGCCTGAGCTGAAATCCCAGGAAGCAGCGAACACTTTGAAATGGGGGCTAATAAATCTGTACGAGTTGTTTGGACTCCTGGCGTTGACCGCTCTCCACCACGGCGCCAGTTACGCCCCATGGAATCCACTGCCGCCACAGGGGTGGGAGCCGCACCCTCGAAGCCTCGCTGTTGGCTGGAAGAGGTTCTTGTCAGATGCCAGCCTAGCCTGCTTTTTGTTTCCCGGTCCGTTTCGGTCACTGTGTGGGTGTAAGTCCGTGTTCTCTGTCACTCTCTACCCCTCGCCCTGCCCTGGGTCCCGTCTGCAGTGTGTTCACTTTTATCTTTCCCACGACTACTACACAGCCTCCTTGTGAGCTTGTCAGTGTTCACCCTTGAGAGGTGCCTGTGTCTTGCCCATAGCTTTGGAAAGTCTGTCTTCCCACCATTGGCACTGACAGGTCATCTGTTAGAATGTTACTTCTCACATGTCTGCACTCTCAGCTTCATGGGAGCGGCATGGGCAGAGGACCACAGTCACAGACAAAGAAGCGTGAGAACAGCGAAAGCAAAACGGGCTAGAAGGCTGGCTCGGGTGCAAGTGCAAACCTAATGCCGCTGCCTTCTCCAGAACGTGAAGCGTCCTGTGACTCATTTGAGATGGTTCTCCTTAGCCGCTATCTTCAGAGCATGACAGAGTTCTCGTGGTTTGTGGGCTCATGTCTGGCTTCTGACTCTGGGTGTAGTCCACTTGGGGCTTTCCTTTCCCCAGTAAACTTTCCCTTCCCCAGACAGGTCTGATCAGAGAGGAGATGAGAAGACAGTGCAGTTTGCACGTTGATAATGACACGTCGCCCAAAGTACCATCCCTGGACTTCATCAAAGGAGAAGTGTCTGATAGCAAGCTCTCCTCTCCAGTGGAATGCAACTCTGGGCACTCAGCAGGTCCCTGAAAATACAGCCTGGGACCCATGCGAAATTCTCATTCTATGTCCCCAGTATTTGTCTTCATAAGACCAATTAAATAGTGTAGTTAACTTTTTTTGTTAATGTTTAATAGCCTTCTAAGGCATTTCCCCAGGCTTAATGATACTGTCTGTATCAACAGATTCTCTGCTCATGAAAGAGGAGGAAAACTAGAATTTTATTAAGCTTTCTTTGTTACTTTGTGAAAGCTAAAACATTGTTTGGGGCTGTCAGGAACAGTTCCGCTGACCTTTTTGTGAGGAAATAAGAGCCGTTTTCAGAGAGAAAGGGTCTGGTTTCTCCCTTTCTTTTTCTCTTTTCTGCTTTCAGATCTTAAGTAACTGGAGGGAAGAGCGCGACCAGGCTGACATAAAGGCGCGGCAGGCGGTGCACGAGGCCTTGCAGCTCCGCTTAAATCTGGTAGGGTGCTTCGTGTGCTTCCTGTAATGGGAAGGCGCTCCAGGTCCAGCTGGGCTGCGGGCAGCGTGGACAGCAGGCCTCAGCGACTGCTTCCCCTTTCCTTCAACTCTCTGCACTCCCTGCCACCTTCCTTCCTGTCTGGGTCAAGTTCTAGACAGTAATCAAAGTTTGAAGCAGTATTTGTTTTCTTTAACAAAGGTCTCTTTCTCTTAGTTTGTGCTTAGAGGTGTTGTAGAAAAACTGCTACTTCGGGATATGTTAGTTTTCACCAGATGAATTTAAAAGCCATAAAATCCTTCAACTCAGAATTGTGACTTTCTATTACATTGATCACCAACACCAATTTCACAAGGCTGTTTGATGGGGATCATTCACTTCTCAAACATGGTGCATTCCTTGGACTTGTCCTTTCCCGCTGCGCTAACCCCGACAGCACCGCCAGTGGCACCTTGGACCTGTCCTTTCCCACTGCGCTAACCCCGACAGCACCGCCAGTGGCACTTGCCTGGTATCTTGACTTGACTGTTAGCCTAGGCCCCACACCTAGGAGCCGGCGGCCTGAGTTCAGAAGCACTGCTTCTGGGTTAGCAGGTGTTTTCAAAGGTGTTATCACCACACGCTTAGATTAAACATGGCAGCTGCAGACAATTGGATCACATAGTTTGGACAGTGATCAGATTTAATGTAATTGCAATTACATTATAAACTGAATATCATGAGAGACAAAGGAAAGAAATCTAATATTATGAGTGTCCATGCTCATTATTGATCTTCATTCAGTTTTTGACCAAACAAATGCTGAAGTAACACAAAATAGTGATAAACTCATAACTGAGAAAAACAACAGAGTAATTCATAATAAGCAGAGTATAGAAACCTTTCTTTTTTCAACTAATGACAATCTGTGGTTGTAACGTGGTGGGGTAGTGGGTGTAATGTGGTGGGTGTGATGTGGTGGTGTGGTGGGTGTGATGTGGTGGGGTAGTGGGTGTGATGTGGGGTAGTGGGTGTGATGTGGTGGGGTAGTGGGTGTGATGTGGGTGTGATCTGGCGGGGTAGTGGGTGTGATGTGGGGTGGTGGGTGTGATGTGGTAGTGTAGTGGGTGTGATGTGGTAGTGTAGTGGGTGTGATGTGGTGGGGTGGTGGTGTAGTGGGTGTGGCGTGGTGGGTGGAGTGGGCGTGGCGTGGTGGGTGTGATGTGGTGGGGTGGTGGTGGCGTGGGCGTGGCGTGGTGGGTGGCGTGGGCGTGACCTGGCTGGTGGGTGTGGTGGGTGTGATGTGGTGGGTGTGGCGTTCTCTCTCTTTCGGAATACAGACTCTGGGCTGTGTTTGTGTGATAGGTGGGAGGCATGTTCGACACCGTGCAGAGGAGTGCTCAGTGGACCACGGACTGGGCCCTCCTGTTTCTGCAGATAATCACCTCGGGAGCCGTGGACATGCACACTAACAAGTATGTGCTCACCCCACACCCCCACACGCTGATGTCCTGAGGACAGATGCTGCCACACCCTAGTGCCAGTAAAGTTCTGTGTCTTCCAAAGCAGTTAAGCATAGCTTCGTTCCTTTTAGGACTAAAACTGTTGTTTTGTTTTGCCTCTTAGCGAATTATTCACCACAGTTCTTGACATGCTGGGTGTCCTAATCAATGGGACGTTAGCCTCTGATCTATCAAACGCATCCCCAGGGGGGTCTGAAGAGAATAAACGAGCATACATGAACCTGGTGAAGAAACTGAAAGTAAGTTGTGACCAGCTTGTGGTATACATTCAAGGTGGTTGTGGGTTTCTTGTCTAATGAATGCATTTTCTCTTAAATTATTACTCAGTAATTTAAATGCTTACACATTCAACATAAAGTGATGTGATTGCTAATTATTGCCAGGCCCCAAAGTTACAAGCGTGTCACGAGAATCTATAGATTCTTAAAATTTTATTTGCAGAGCATGTCTAATTTTTAAGTTATTTTAGAAATATTTCATTATCAAAACTTAACCAAAATGCCAAAATAAGATTTAGGATTAATCCATGCTTGGACTTGCTCATGTAGTTAAACAATCAGCATCGATTAATATTTGAACATCTGATTTATTTGACTAACTCTCTTTGACATAAACTATAAACACACAGTACAAGGAAGGAAAGAAACGTATCTGACAACTTTGTCAATAAAATAACGGATGGTTACCTTGTGGTCCGCCCCTGGGTGCGAGAGTGTGTTCTCTGCTGCAGCTCCTGCCTTCGGCTCCCAAATGCTAGCATGAATGTTTGTCATTTCAGCTCTGTGATGTTGTGCAACAAGACTGCCTTTGTCTGTCTTCTGTTTTCTACTTGAATAGAAGAAATGAAACATGGTACTGATTTGGAACTGTTCCATGGCATATTTCAGGGTTAAAGAACATGCTAGCTATGAAGAAGGAACTGTTTATGAAGGAACTTCCTTCCTGTTAACTTTTGCCTTCACTGTAATTTATATGAGTTGCCATTTTATTTCTCCCTCCCTTTCCCTTTCTCCTTCCTCCCCACTTCCTTCCCTCTCCCTCTCCTGTCTCTCTCCTCTCCCTCTCCTCTTTTCTTTCTCTGTTTTTATAGAAAGAGCTTGGAGACAAGCGGTCAGAAAGCATTGATAAAGTTCAACAGTTGCTACCTTTGCCAAAACAGACATGTGATGTCATCACTTGTGAGCCTATGGGTTCTTTGATCGACACAAAAGGAAACAAAATTGCTGGATTTGACTCTATCGATAAAAAACAGGCAAGTATAAATGTTTGTCTCATACATAAATACATCTTACTTACAGAAATGAAGTAATTTTTTAATCTTCCTAGAAAGTACATAAAACATCTCAACGTTATAGTTCCTTAAAAAATTTAGGGGGTATTTTTGTTATGCACTATGGTAAACATCATATTTTGTAAGATACTCATTTAAAATCTTTACCTAAATCTAAATAAATTTCTGAAATCCACCAAGGAGAAACTAAAGTTTAAGAAAATGAAAGCAAAGGCCAGTTCTGATTTTATTTCATAATTGGAAGTACTGTATCTTTATGCAAGAAAGAATTTATTGATAAATAGTGTCTTGTGCTAATAAGCTATTTCAAGTAAAAATTACTTAATACTTACGTGTTTTTGCATTTTGAGACAGGATCTTCCTTAGTGGTTCAGGACATTGTTTTGAAGAAAGTTCTCTAAAAGAGAACAAAATTGGTCAGATGTTCTTTCAATGGACATTAGGCAATCAGACATTATACAATCACAGAAATAAAAATGGAGCTCCTAACATCCTACTTTCTAGAGGAAATAGGAAACCACAGTGCAATAAGATTTGTATGTCATGGTAGAGAGCATTGGGGACACTAGAAAATGTAGAAGAATGTGACTTAATGCTGCGATCAATCAGAGAAGCCTGTGTGCCCAGTTCTAATGTAGTTCTACAAAGGAAAAAGCTAGGGTCAGGTCAAGTTGTGTTTCAGTTCTCTAGCAGTGGGACTTGTAGAATCCATTTGGTGGTAATGTGGTCTTTATACCTAGAAAATGATTTCGTCTCAAGACACATATTAAGGGAAATTAATTGAACCTTGGTGTTGGAAGAAGCCATCAGTGGCAGATTACGTGTAGATAAGAAGAACAAGGAGGGTTCTCATCTTGTAGACTGACTGAATGCTTGTTTTTGAGGAGAAATATATTTAACTTGATACACTAGGAAATGTTCTAAGAGACACTAACAAATAATGTTGAATTTCTTATTTAACATAACTCAGAAACAGAATTGTGTTCTTCTGGAGTTAGTAGAGACAAGCTGGACTGGAAAGACTTCTATAATTGCTTCTGTAATGTAATTCTGTCATCCTGTTGCTTTGTTAAGAATCTGGCTTATGGCCGGTCACAGGATGTTCACTGTAATCCTAGCTACGCAGGAAGCTGAGGTCTGAAGATCATGGTTCAAACCAGCCAAGCCAGGGGAGAAAACTCCATGAGTCTGTTATCACCACTAAGATACCAGAAAATCTGCAAGTGGAGCCATGGCTCAAGTGGTAGAGCACTAGCCTTGAACACAAGAGCTCAGGGGGACAGCACCCAGACCCTGAGCTCAGGCCCTAGCACTGGCACCCAATTTAAAAATAGATGATGATGATGATGATGATAATCTGGCTTGTGAAGTATGTGAAAGGTCTCCATGTTGAATCAAGTCCATGCAGGTTTGGATTGAAGTTAATAGGAAACCACTTAGGGGCCAAGAGTGTTTTGGCTCTTAAGTTTTATATTGTCTCAAACATAGAAAATAGATTACTGATTATAATTTGTATTAGTAAGACTAGCTTTTCAGTATTCTTTATTTAAAAAGATTCTTCTTTGAAAAGATAAATGAAAAATGGATTGTAAGCAACATAGACTACTTGTGTTGCTTATGTGTAGCAAGCAAAGAACTGCAGAGCTGAACATGAAGGTCTGAATCGTAGGCACTGCCTTCCTGTGAGTGACCTAGCTCTGCAGTCTGGGGTGCTGAGTGCTAGGTCTTAAGCAGGCTGCCTGTGATTCAAGGCAAGATCTGAACACATTCTCACCACGTACCGTCTTACCCCAGGGGCTCCAGGTCTCTACCAAGCAGAAAGTGTCCCCATGGGACTTGTTTGAGGGCCAGAAGAACCCAACTCCTCTCTCCTGGGCCTGGTTTGGGACTGTCCGTGTGGATCGAAGAGTAATCAGATACGAGGAGCAGCACCACCTCCTTCTGTACCACACACACCCCACGCCCAAGCCCCGGAGCTACTACCTGGAGCCGCTGCCCCTGCCTCCCGAGGAGGAAGAGGAGGAGCCCACATCTCCCGTGTCTCAGGAACCAGAAAGGAAACCAGCTGAGCTGCCAGATCCCGGGAAAAACGCAGCCGATGAAGAAAAGAAGACAAAGGGCAGGAAGCGCAAGACCAAGTGCGGCTCGCGCATGGATGTGAGTAGGGAGCCAGGAGAGCGTGGCGCGTTAGGAGCGAGGGGGGCCTGGAAGTCCATACGCTCGTTAGCAGCGAGGGTGAGACTCACTACTGGTCCCCTGTCCCCACGTCCCTGGAAGTCCTTAAGCTGGTTATCAGCGAGGGTGAGACTCACTACTGGCCCTGTGACCCCACGTCCCTGGAAGTCCATAAGCTGGTTAGCAGCGAGGGTGAGACTCACTACTGGCCCTGTGTCCCCACGTCCCTGGAAGTCCATAAGCTGGTTAGCAGCGAGGGTGAGACTCACTACTGGCCCTGTGTCCCCACGTCCCTGGAACTCCGTAAGCTCGTTAGCAGCGAGGGTGAGACTCACTACTGGCCCTGTGTCCCCACGTCCCTGGAAGTCCATAAGCTGGTTAGCAGCGAGGGTGAGACTCACTACTGGCCCTGTGTCCCCATGTCCCTGGAACTCCGTAAGCTCGTTAGCAGCGAGGGTGAGACTCACTACTGGCCCTGTGTCCCCACGTCCCTGGAAGTCCGTAAGCTCGTTAGCAGCGAGGGTGACTCCCTACTGGCCCTGTGTCCCCACGTCCGTCAGCTCTGAGACAGCTCTTGCTCGCTCGTTTCTGTGACATTTAACTGGATGGCACAACATAACAGGTGGACTGAGTTGGGTTCCCCCTCCACTTGAACTGCTTCTCAGAGCCACTAACTGCCATTTCCTTATCCAAACTCCATTTCACTGAAATAATTCCATGTTAAAACTTTCACAAATACACCAAGAGCTGCTTCTCGTAGATAATTCTGGGTTAAATCTCAGTGCCTCATCATTTCCCAGGTTTGAAACCTTAATTTTTTGAAATATCAAATCCTATAATTTTGGGTAGTTGACAAAATTTGCAATACATTAACATAACAAAACTCTTTTCTTTTTCCCTGTGTTAATTTATATATGATGCCCAATATGGTGATCTAGAGATTCCTTATTTTCCTATTATCTTGCTCTCTTGCACTTCTGCTTCTTTTCCATATTAGATTTTATGAGAGATAAGTAGACCTAATTGTAAATGCTGTCTTTCTTGCTTTCTACCTCATATTCCTTACCAATGATGACGTTTTCTTTCAAATATCAGAAACAGGGCTAGATATGGTGGTACATACCTGTAGTCCCAGCTACTTGGGAGGCAGAGGTAGGAAGATCATAGTCAGATGCCAATCCTGGGCATAAATCCTACCCTACATGAAAAGTAAACGGAAGCGAGTGTGGTGGGGCTTGAGTTGCCGTTCATCTGCCTAGCAAGTGCGAGGCCTCAAGGTCAAGCTGCCGGGATTTCTCCACACCCTGAGAAATGTATCGAATTATAATTTATAAATGATTTTTGGAACGTAAGATGTGGTACTTAGGATTTCTTTCTAGTGATAAATACTTGAGCATTTGAAGTAACCTTCTACAAAATCCAGGGGAATTTTTACTGCACAGCATAAGAAGGACTTGTGTTCAGACATCTGAGGGTAACTTACCTGTGTCAAAACCAAGACTTCTCTGTTCCTCCCTGATAGCCTGTGCTCATGTGTCAGCGCCTCTTGGTTACCTTCTGCTCAAGTTCCTCCACCTCGAAAGCTTGTTCAGTGTGGTCCCTACTGAGCCTCCTGCTGATCTGGGGTACTAATCTGCCAGCCCGTGCAAACAGGTTCTGTTCTTTTCAGATACCAGCAGCTCTAACCTCACAGAAGCCCATGTGAATTGGCTTCTGTTCATCTCAGACACCACCAGAAGCTCCAAATTCAGCTTATTTTCTACACCTTCTCTCAGTGGCATATTACCCTTGTGTAAAATGGCAGGGAACATGGCGCCCACCTGTGTGGAAGGGCAGTAGAAAGACTCCAGTAAGGTGCTTTCTAGGCAGAAAGCAGTCCCGAAGCATTGTGGGCCTTTCTGATACAGATGTCCTCGAAGCCCCAAGACCCTGGGGACGGCCTTCTGAGGTGATTATCAAGAACCTTATCAAGGAAGGTGCTTGTAGTTAGTCTTGCTCAGTATTGGCATTCTGAGTGCATTTTTAATTTTTTAAAGAACTGACAGAAGATATTTTTCCTCTGTGGCCACTGCAAGATAAGTGGTTTCTTTTTGGTTTGGGTTGATTTGGTTTTTACTGTGAGGCTTGTGCATGAGAGGCAGATGTCCTGCTACTGAGCTGCACTCAAGTAAAGGAAAAGGTCTGACTCCTGTGTTCACTTCCCCTCTCCCCTTTACAAAAACAACCTTATACACAGACATAGGAAGTAGCTCAAATAATTCATTAGTGTGGGATATGTCGATTCAAACTTTGTTTTTAATCTTTATGTTGAAGGAGTATCCACAGAGCAACATATACCGAGCACCTCCTAATTACTCACCCATTTCCTCCCAAGTGATGCACCACGCACCGCCAACCGTGTGGGGTTACAACCTCGTGGGCCAGCCCCCTCAGCCTGCCTTCTTCCTTCAGAACCAGTCTCTTACTCCAGGTATGTAACAAAAACGCAGTTAGGTCACTCTTAGATGAGGTTCTCTTTGCTTTCACCCTGAGAGCGTTACAAAACTTGAGACTTTGAGAGCTCAGCTGACATTTCAGCAATTCCCTTCACTCAAAGTATCTTTCCTTCTGAATAAGATTCAGCCAGGTGCAGCAGGGCACTTCTGTAGTCTTAGATACTCTGGAGGCTGAGCCTAGGAGTTTGAAGCCATCCTGGGCAGCATAGAAAGATTTCATAACCTTATATTTCTTCAGAGGTAAAGACTGTAGAAGAATTGTGAACATTAAAAGAAACTGAGGGCTGGGATGTAGCTCAGTGGCAAAGTGCTTGCCTAGCAAGTGCAATGTCCTGGGTTCGATCCCCAGTACCAAAAAAGAAAAGACAAAAAAAATACAGTTTAAAAAACCCAAACAATAAAACTGACTGACCTATCACATTTCTGTTCTCTTTCTGTGAATGGACCGTGAGCATAGTGTGGTCGGGCCGCCCACCTCTCGATCCCTCGTCGTCTCCCACACGGTCTCTGTGGGTGGCTCTGACTTAGGCTGCCTCTGGTGCTGAGTCTGAAGTAATGTAGGGTAACCATGTGGTCAGCTGTCTGTCCTATGAACTGCTCTTTATGAAAGGGTAAGGTGTGGGTGAGGTATTTATGGAGAGTTCTTCTCTGTACATCAGAGTTGGCAGATACTGTGAAGCCAGCAATTGGTGAAAAAATACTTTTTTTTCAGTTGTGGAACTTGAACTCAGGGCCTGGGCTCTGTCCCTGAGCTTTTTTGCTCAAGGCTAGCACTCTACCACTTTGAGTCACAGCTATGCTAAAAAGAATACATTCTAACCCATGAAGGCACGTAATCAAATCTGTATCCAGAGATGCTAAGGATTTCCTTTGTTTTCTTAAATAACAGTATAATCAATGTCTGTGTTTTAATTGATTTCCAGCTTTCAAAAAGTATTTTCTCTTTAGATTTATGATATTTGAAGTTTCCAAGAAATTCAAGTAAAACTACTTTTATGCTTTTCTACTGCAAGAGATACATTTTATTATGTCCTGGGAATGAAGCTTAAATAACATGTGCTTCAGATTTGTTTAAAATCACGAGAGTTTCTATGTCTGGCTCAGGACTCCTGTCAAAATATGCCATGAAAGCAATGTGGGCTTTTTTTTGTTTTTGTTTTTGTTTGTTTTTGTTTTTGTCAGTTGTGGGGTTTAAATTCTGGGCCTGGGCACTGTCCCTGAGCTCTTTTGCTCAAGGTGAGCGCTCTACCACTTGAGCCACAGCACCGCTTCCAGTTTTCTGGTGGTTAATTGGAGATAAGAGTCTCATGGACTGTCCTTGCCTGGGCTGGGGAACCGTGATCCTCAGATCTCAGCCTCCTGAGTAGCTAGGATGACAGGCGTGAGCCACCCGTGCTCAACAAAAGCAGTGTGTTTTATGCCAGTAATATATTCCCAATAGCCTTAGATGATTTGAAATTCATATAACTGCCAAATTATGGCAGCTCCTCATTTTCTCACCTGAAGTAGGGCATTTGTGAAGTTGCATTGTGTACAGTATTAGACTCCCTCCTGCGAAGGTGAAGTGCCTGTGTTTTGGTAAAATAGGGACACCTGATTGCTTTACCATGCTTAGCGACCTCTCCACTCTGGTGCTGCTGTAGGAGGCTCCAGGTTGGACCCCGCGGGCTCCATTGTGCCAGCCAGCACCAAGCAAGCGCTGTCCTACATGCTCCAGCGGCGCTCGGGCGCCGTGACGCAGCCCCTCACCCTTCACGGGCTCACTTCCCAGCAGCAGTTCATACAGATGAAGCTTCTGCAGCAGCAGCAACAGCACCGTCTTCTCAGGCAGGCCCAGACTCGACCTTTCCAGCAGGTTTGTCCAGTCCTCTCCTTTTGTTGCCCGAGAGCCAGGGATGCATTGGGGGTGTGCGTGCCGCCTCCCCTGCCTGCGTGTCCTGTCCACGTGGGTGGGTGGGGACAGGCCTCTCATGCTAGCTTATACACCAGAGATCCTCAAAACCAAAATGCCTTCATTTGACCTAAATTATGTTAGTTAGAGACGGGCCTCAGCACCCACTCTGCATTGCAGTCCCCTCCACGTGTCGCGGTCTCCTCAGCTCTGCTCCCCTGTGTTATTTTACATTTGTTATTTTGGGGGTGTTTCTCTGAACCCTGATGTCTGCATTGCAGTCCCCTCCACGTGTCGCGGTCTCCTCAGCTCTGCTCCCCTGTGTTATTTTACATTTGTTATTTTGGGAGTGTTTCTCTGATGTCTGGATTTTTTCCTTCATTGCCTGCCTTTGACTCAGGTTGTTTTTCATTTTTATTTTTTATTTTTTTAGTGTATGCTTAGTATGGCCTATAGTAAATTACGGTCAATGTATGGATATATTTGGTTATTATTTCTTTTTAATTTTCTTTTTAGGCAGTGATTGTAATTGACAAAACATCCTGAAAGTTGCATAAAACTTAGCATAGGCTCAGAAACCTATGTGTCTGTACATGTAAACAAAATCTATATAAGTAAAAAGAATGAGGTGAGATGGTGGCTTTCTTTCTAGTTGCTAATACTTTTTATATTTGCTATTTTTTCTGAAATGCAGTCATTATTTTGATAATAATAGCTAATACTGCAGAGCACTTACCATATGCCAAAAGCCTTGAAATGTTTTAGCTAAGATCCCGTGACAGTCCAGTGATGGGTTAGATACTTTGTGGTTGTGTCCTGAGAAAAACTATAGAACTCAGAATAACAAGAGATATGAATGCCATTACAACATTACTCACCATCGGGGATCGCTTCCTCCACTGACCTGTATGTAAAACTTGGAGTGCATCTGCACTCTGGCCACTTACTTGATTTGGAGGCAAAGAAATGGCTCCTTTGTTACTTGATTTATAAGGACAAGACAGAAAAAATGAGTTGAATTGCCTGCTTGTCTCTCAGTGATGGCTTTAAAACTCTCCAGGCATCAGATAAGGTGGGGCTAAGTTGCTTCTTTCATACAGGTGACAAGAACTCAAATAAAATATTTAGAAATCTTACATTTTGCTTCAATGAGCAATGTTTGAAACCATTTAAAAACCATCATTGGACATTGGGCTCTTCCTGGAGATGAGTAAAAAATAGCTATGACATTGCTTGAAATCTTTCCTTAGATAAGTAAGTAAATTACTAGAAGTTGATCAAACTTAGCCCCTAGAAGTTGATCAGCATGACACTAGAATGAACAGTCCCCTTTTAAAGTAATAAAGCCTTAATAAAAGTTGCTCTATTTTTTTCACATCCATTCTTCCATCACAAGATCTGATACTCCCTACTTTCATTCCTGTTTTCAAACTTGCTGCTGAAGCCAGCTTTGAGTCACTGCAGATAATCCATTACAGGTAAATATGCCTGTCCTAAGAAGTCCTGGTGGCTGGAAAGACCAGCTGCAGCCTCCCAGACGCTCTCTAACCATCTCTCTTTTCCTTGCGCACTCAGACTTGCACGGATTGCACTCTGGAAGGGGTTAGACAGAAATGGACCGTCTGTTCTCTTACAGATTCTTGTGTGGTAACTCTGGCGTGATGTGAGGCCAGTCTCGGCTTCTTCCAGGAGTCCTCCCTTCAGTGCTTGCCTCTCCCCCTCTTCTTGCATCATGAAGTCTTGCATCCTCTCACAAGCAGACACATGTTTCCTCCCATTGTTCTTGAAGTGATCATTGAGGAAGGATCCAGGGCCTACTACAAGCAGAGACTTCTCTGCCGCTCAGCGACATCCACAGGCTCTGTGTGTGTGTGTGTGTGTGTGTGCGTGATGTGTGTGTGTGTGAGTGTGTGTGATGTGTGTGTGTGAGTGTGTGTGTGTGTGTGTGTGTAGAGTGGCATTGCATTGGGTTTGAACTCAGTCCTCAGGCTTGCTAGTCTGGTGCTTTTCCACTGCAGCCATGCTCCAGCCTTGGTTTCCTAGGATAGGGTTTTGCTTCTTTTGATCGAACATGCCTAAACTGCAGTTTGCCTTTTTTAGGCTTATTATTACCACATGTAGCTTCCCTCTGAGGAGGAGGGGTCTTGTGGACTTTTCTGGCCCAGCCATCCTGGTACCTTCAATCTCTGCTTGTGGACTTACTGCCTGGGCTGGCTTTGAACTGTGAGCCTCCCAGAGCCACTGAGAAGCCACCCATCGCCCCTCTTATGGAGGAACAGGTGGATCTGCATGTGGCATCCGCTGTGAGGTCTGTGGGAATGGTAGCCCTTCTCTTCTCTTTTAGTAGGTAATCTGTGTCATTGATACATCACTTCCTCTCTCCCCTAACACACATGGTAGTCATCAGTGTATCTGGAACCTAGCTAAATAGCTTCTATGGCAGGAAAGAGTCTCTTGTGAATTTTTTACAATTAGATTCATATAAAATGTAAGCAGTATTGACAAATTGTTACGATGTTGGACATGAGCAGTCAGTTACCTTTCTAAGTACTGATCATTTCACGACAAGACATGATTGAAGAATGTTGATCCTAGCTTTGGAAGGATTTTTCTCAGGTTAAATACCTAAACATAAGATGAATTTCTCTAGCTATATAATGGTTTGGGGATTGGTTTTGGGGTCCCCCTAGCTTCTTGTAAGTAAAAGTAAATAGATATGATTTTCCCCCTTATCTCAGTGAATGTCTTTTTTCCAGAAGTCCATTTCCTTAACTATAGCAAACACTGAAGAACTTTTATTTCTCTGAATCAAATTGGTTGTGGAATTCTAGTGGCTGTTTTCAGTCTGACTTACGGGTGGCGCTGCTTCCTAGACACACTAACTGCCCATGCTGGAGGTCTGGTGCTGGGCCTTGTAATATTCAGTGTCAGCCTGATGTCCACCTGGCATCCAGTAGAGATCTATGAGAGATTCACAGATGGGCCAATGCGTGGCGCAAGGGGGCATTTTCAAAAGCCCTACTTGCCCCAACTCCCAGCAATGTGCTTTTTGGTCTTACGCATGTCCCAGTGCTGGCTTTGGACCGCCACGCTCAGGTTATAGGCATGAGCCACTGGTGCCTATCTTCATTCTAGTTTTGTTTTGTTTTTGTTTTTTGTCAGTGTGGGGCTTGAACTCAGGGCCTGGGTGCTGTCCCTCAGCTCTTCAGCTCAAGGCTGGTGTTCTACCACGTGAGCCACAGCACCACTTCCAGTTTTCTGGTGGCTTATTGGAGATTAGAGTCTCATGGACTTTCCTGCCCGGGCTGGCTGTGCACCGTGATCCTCAGATCTCAGCGTCCTGAGTAGCTAGGATGACAGGCGTGAGCCACCGGTGCCCGACCTCATTTTAGTTTCTTAACGTGGTTACATTGTTAATGTCTACATTTTATTTTTACTGAGAACAATTACAAAATGTAGAGTATTGATGATAATAATGCACAGTGTTGCTCGGATTGTTTTTCAGTGCTTTCTTCCTGACACCCTACCCCCTCACTAGGGGCAGAGTCTTTCAGAATGCATTTTAAGTTTTGGTCCAGGAAATGTTGTGATCTGTGCTGTTACTTTATCCTAATTTCTCTATTTCATTGTACAAAACCATTTTGCCCTTGTTTGTGATAATCAACACCAGCTCTATTTTTAGAACCTAAAGAAAGTTATACCAAAAATGTTTAAATTAACAGAGGCAAATTCAGAAGAAAACATTTGGCTTCAATTACATGTAATGAGTCCATAGGGGTTTTTGAGACAGTAAAGGAAGATTTCAGGCAGAGATCAGACATACCCAGTCATCGCTTGTAAGGAGATGGGGGTCGTCACTGTGTGTGCAAATAAAGGAAGTCAGTAATTTAAGGAAGGAAGGAGATATGAGTCAGAGCCTCCCAGAGTGGGTAGCTCTTGGCAAAAGTGAACCCGTGAATCTGTGCACATAGGCCTGTGGGTTGGCGAGGCTGGCTGCCCACCCAGATGGTCCAGTGGTTGGTCTCCTGCCCGTGGGAGATACGTTACCTCTTTGAATAGATGAGTTTCCTTTTCTTCTTCTTCTTCCTTCCTCCCACCTCCGCACCTCTGTCTTTAGTGATGTGTTTCAAGTATACTGCTAACATACTTATCCTGTGAGGCTTCAGTCTATAATTCTGTTCTGCCATATTTACTCTAGATCATAGAAGGAGGATCTTTGTGCCCCTCTTATTTTCCCCTTACTAGGAAGAGGGAGTCACTGCCATAAACCAGTGTGTTTTCCTTAGGACTGTTTTCATATTTTTATTCTCATTGTACCAGTGGCCTCACTTTGTAGAGCCAAAACTTTATAGAATGGAATCACATGGGTTCCTTATTGCTTAGCATCTTGCTTGCTGTTCTGTGGCTATATTTTGACTCAGTGCCTGTGTCACTCAGTTTTGTTCATCCATTCCATTGTGAGTGTTTAGTATTATTTACCCATTCATTTAAGTTATTTCCAGCTTTTTTCTTACTCTTCACGAAAACTACCATGGAGATTCTTCTGTGTTTCCTCTGCACATGTGGAAGCATTTTAGGGTGCACACCTAACAGCGCAGGTGCCATCCATTCCTCTAACACCAAGTGAGCATCTTCCTGCTTTCCTGTCTTCAGCCAGTCCTGGGCGTGGCTAGACCATGTAAAATGATGCTGCAGGGCAGCATTTGACTTTGTATTTTAGATAACCTCTGAGTTTTATGCATCCTTTACTACTCTACTATTCAAGTTTGCCCTTTTGTGAAGTTCCAGATCATGTGCATTGAGCATTTCTAAATTTTCTTCTTCTTTGTTATAGGTGGGCAAATTTTGAAACAGATCTTGAATCTTGAGGACGGCTTTCAATTCATTAACTCAGAGAGTGTCTTTTACATATATCTCAATGGCAGAAATAGAGGAGGAAAAACCCACTAAACTGAGACATGCTC